TAAACACTTTGGATGTATAAGGAGAGACCCCCCAAAAGCAGATTTTATTGTTTAAACTAGCATGTTTATTTGTTACATGCATAAAAAATGAGTCACCTTCAAACACCCCCAACCCCGCCAGCCCCCACCACAGGGTCCTTGCCAGGCTTGGCCCGCTGGGTGCCCTCCTCCTCCTGGTCATTGAGCAGTTTGGCCAGGAAGTTGATGTACTTCATGGCCAGGCGGAGGATCTCATTTTTGCTGAGCTTCTTGTCCGGGGGATGCGTAGGGATCAGCTTGCGGAGCTCAGCGAATGCCCCGTTCACATTCTGCTGCCGCCATCGCTCCCGGCTGTTGGTGAAGATACGCCGCACAACTTTGGTGTGGGGACCTGGAGGTTAAGAGGGCCAGGGTTAGGAGAATAGGCTGGGGATCCCTCAAAGGAATCTCCATCTATATCAGGAAACTTGGGAAACATGGAATGCCTTCTTTCCTTTTCCTTAGAAAACTTCCACCCTTCAAAATCAAGTTCTTATGTTTCCTCCTCTCTGATAATATCCTTCAACCCCTCCAGACATATCCAACCAACCACCATGGCCCTACAATCCCTTGTCCTCCATCATTCTTGATTATTACTTATGTTTCTGTGCTTGTCTTCCTCTCTAGGCTGTGAGATGTCTGAAGACAGGGCCACATGTCATTCATTCACTCGTGCCAAGAGGCCTTACAGCAGGATCTAGGGAGACAGACTCTAAAGCCAAACTTTCTAGGGTCAGTTCCTGGCTATTTGAAATATTCGTAACTAGATGAGTGACTCTTAAATAAATGTTCCCGAAGTGCCTTAGTTTCATCATCTGTGAAATGGAGATAATACTAGTAAGGCAAGTCATGAGATTGCCAGGGGCCCAATACCTAACACAGATAAAAGACTTAACACAATATCTCCCTCAGCTTAAGCAGTCAATAAATGTTAGCTGTCGTTATCCATTCTTCAGAGTTTTACTAACAACCAGGCCCTGTGCTAGGCACTAAGGAATAATGATGAACAGAGAAGGTCCCTACCCTCATGAAGCTTACATTTTGATGGGGATGAGAGATGATGGATACACAGCAAACAGACTTTAAAAATGAACAGGAGGCTGAGTGGTTATGGGAAGGAGCTGCTACATTGAGCTATGATGGCTAGGGAATGCCTTTCTTAGGAACTGACATTTATAAGGCAGAAACTTAAGGCTGAAGAAGAGCCTGTCAGACACAGAAAGAGAAGAGTGTCCAAGCAGACGGAATGGCCTGTGCACAGTCCCTGAGCTGGATGACGGCTAAAGTCAGCCTGGCCGGAGTCCTGTGCACAAGGTAGGAGTAGGCAGGGTCCGGATCCCACAGGGTGTTGCAGTGAGGTATGGGGACTTCATTCTAGGGCTGATGGAAAGCACAGAGTAGGGCTTTAGCAAACGTTTGCTGACTGACCCCTCACAGTAGCACATGGGGAATGGGGGGGGGGAGAGCAGAGAAAGGTTCTCATCCCCGGAAGAGGAGTGCAGACACAGTCATGCATAGCCATGGCCTGCAACTCTAGGTAGGCTTCCCAGCCTGCCTCGGTCTCCCATATCTACAATGTGCTGATTACAACGTGGCCTCATAGTCACTAAAATCCTGTGTATGAAGACTTACAGAGCAGTGGCAGACACCAGCACACATGTAACAAGCACCCATGGTGTACAAAGCACCATGCTAAGTGTTCAAGCCTGACCTGAGATTCCCAAAGCTGAGGGAAGATGGAAGACTCTGCTAATGTTCTTGAGCTCCTAGGCTGAGGAGACTGCATCCCTCCCTAAACCAGGGCACAGACCCAGGCTCACGCAGTCCTCAGGAAGCTCTGCACACTAAAGAAACTGCCAGTTCTCGAATATTTATTTGCCTTCTTCCAGTAACCCTAGAACCAAAACCTCATCTAAGTTCCACTGCTCATTTTACAGCTAAGGAGACTGAGGTGGAACAGTGGCAGACCTTGCCTCAGTGGTCAGTCTGTGACCCAGCTCATCCACGCCAATACTTCCTGCTTGATTGTCTCTTTCTCTGCACACACACACACACACACACACCATATTTTTCCGGGGAGGATCACTCATCCCCTGCCCACAGTGGTCTGACACTGTCTATCTAAACCCCATCAGGCCCCAGCCCAGCTGACTCTTTGCCAAAGGCCAGACCCAGACTGGGAAAAACATAGCACACCTGCAGGACTGGCCTACCCTGGGCTGCCTCAGAGGAAATAACTTGCTGTTCTCAGGCATCCAGGCCAGATGGGGGGTGAGAGGAGGTATCCTTCAGTTGTGACATAGGAAGGACCAGTTGCTGCACCATGGTTAATGCTGGTGATCTCAAACCCATGGGCTCAGGCAATCCCCTCACCTCGGCCTCCCAAAGTGCTGAGATTACAGGCATGAGCCACCACCCCTGGCCAATGTTGGTGATCTTGAGGGAATGCCTGGTTGGGGATGGGGACATAAAGACTGCTGTCACAGCTAAAGTCAGACTAACTCCAGAAGGGGATGTGGGAGGTAGAGGTCAGGAGGTAGAGGTCAGGTCAGCCTCAGTGTCCTCATTTGTGAAATGAAAATAATATTGACCTCATGGGGTTGGGGTGAAGATTAAATAATATCGAGCACACAAAGTCTATGGCACATATTAGGTGTCCAATAAATGGGAGCCACTGTTGTAAACAATTATGATAAAATAACTGTGATCTCACACTCCCTTCCCCATCCTTTGAACAACTGCCAGAGGACTGCTGGGTGATGAGCACTGTGCTGGGTGCTAGGAGTACAGTCAGGAAAAAGACCGAATCCCCATATCAAGGAGGTCCCTACTGGTCTCTGGTAGAAAGGAGCTTACTGTCCTTGAGAATCCAATTATACTTGGTCAACAATCTGGAAGGAGGCTATTATTCTCCCTATGTTACAAATGAGGAAACTGAGGACCAGAAAAGATCAGCAACAAGAATTCACATTAAGTCCTGACTCTAGAGCTTGTATGAATTCCCCTTTCATAGACCCTTTTTGGTTCAATGTCTAAATTCAAAGTCCTGTGGATGTAGCCTGAACCCCCACACCCTTCCCTTCACCTACGTTTCTGCCTATTTCTCTCTGGTTCCCTCCCAGAGAACTATCTCCCTCTCCTCATTTTCCTCTTTCCTGCATCTGTCTATCCCTCTGGTATCCTCTGCCTCCCTCTGGTCAGCACTGAGTAGGTGCTCAGTAAATATTGGTAACATTTATGGGTCACAGCTTCCCTCCATTCCTGCGCTCCCACAAACCTTCGCCCCTTGCCCCACCATTCTGCCTCCTTCCTGGAGAGAGATCAGGGTGGTCCTGCCTACTTGGTATCCTCACATTCCCTAGACTAGAGAGCAGCACTGGCACCCTCCATTCTCTTCCCCCTCCCCCACGTCCTACATAGCTGTGCCCTAGCCTGGTTGTCCTGTTATCCAGAACACCACAGCGGCCTCACTGTAGAAGCCCCAGCTCCATGTACACATCCCTTCTATCAACTCAAGCAGAGAGCCAGGCTGGCCCTGAGGTCTCCAATGCCTGTCCCGTAGGAGCCCTAGACCACAGCCAGGATGTAGCCCTGGAAGAGCTAGAGATTTTCTCCAAGTCTCTCAGCCCTGAAGAGCCTGCTCTCCTCTCCCTGGTGCTGGGACCCACCTCCTACATCAGGTCAACCCTGGGAAGAAGGCGTGGGTTCTCCAAATCCCCCACTAATCCAACCCCCCTTGAAGCTCAAGTCCAAAGAATATTCAGGTAGTTCACAGTAACAGTGCTAAGGCCCTTCGCAGGGAACCCAGGGCACAGGGAACTCTAGGTCTCAGCCCAGAATGTATTCACTGGGGACAAAAGGACCCTACAATGTAGGAACCGGGGAAGAGACCCTTGAATTCATCTCCAGGCAAGGAATAGACTCCAGACTCCAAAAGGGGCTTGGGAGGAAATGCAGTGAATCCCTGAGAATCAGGACCCAGAGTGGGGGTTGGAGAGCATGGCGTGTCTCTGCCCTCCTGGGAATCCTTGCCAAAGTGTAAAACAGAGCTTCAAGTGGGGACTGAAACTGACTCTAAAGGTTTGGGCTAAGTGCCACTATTTGTCCCTCTCCTGTGTCCTCTCTTCCCAGGACTGTGAGTATGGCCCCACCCACAGCTTCACCTAGTCCCAAGCTCTGTTACAGGGCGAAGAACTTTGGCAGTTTGGGTTCCAGGGTGGCCTGCCCATCTTTGTGAGACACTCGCAGAGCAGTGTCCTCAGTGTCACCTCCGGCAGAGGGCTCTAGCCAGCGTGAGGGGCAGGTACCAAGGTGGGTGGGGTAGACTCACCATCAGTAATCTCCATCTCATAGGGGGAGGGTCTCCTCTTCACTCGGTTGTTGGTAGTGAACATAGGGAAGGCATCAGGCTCCCCAAAAAACCCACTGTGGGAGGGAACGAGCAGATCACAAGATCACAGGTTGAGTAGAGAGGAGAAAGGGGCTCCTCAGGAATCCACCCCACATGCCCTGAGCCCACACACCTGGAGGGTAACTCTGCTTCCTTCACACTTGAGTTGGGGATAGGATAGAAGGAGCATTAAACACACATACATACACACACACACACACACACACACACGAAATGCCCCATTCTTTTTGTTATGAGACAAGCAAAGAGAGGAGCCACATATCCATGAACCCCTACACAACACACACACACATACACACACACACACACATACACACACACACACACACACACGGGGGGAGAGGGCAGAAGTGAAGCCATGGAGTAAACACAAAAATAGACACATGCACCCTCACACAGGTAGACACACTCATCCCCCAGAAACAAGCACACAATCCACAAAGACACCTCCACGCCCAAGGACGTCTACACAGGCAGATAGGACCTTCACACCTGATGGTGTACATCTCTGGCACCACAAAGGGGCACACAGTCCCCTTGCTCCAGCCTCAGCCCACCTTCGCCTGGCCACATGGTGTTGTGGGGTGGACCACAGAAAGGAAACCCGGACTCCCTCCCAGCTGCTGAAACACTCCCCCTAGCTCTCTGCCCACTCTGGGCTCTCTATATAGCACTTTCTCCGGGTCTCTGGCAGACTCACTGTCCCACACCTCTATCCTTGCCTCATTTTCCTGTCCCCATTCCAAGTCTGCCTCAGCCTCTTCATCATAATAGTGGCCGCAGGGGGGAAACGGATGCCCTCATACCAAGGGGAGTAGGACCTGGGCCAGAGACCACAGCGAAGGGCCCAGGGGTTGGGAGTGGAAGGATAGCTTAGCCCTCCAGCAGAGATTCCAAGGAGGGTGCCCTCAGCCACCACCCTCAGATCCTTGTCTTGCCTGTCCACAATGTCACACCCTCAGCTGCAAACACCATCTCCGCTCACAGCCAAGCATCCAGCACGGTACCCACACTCAGGGGACTGCTTCCTTTCCACCCCCCCGCCCCACCACAGCACCCCGATCGCCTTCACCCCGAAGGTATGCATCCCCCCCTCGGCTTCCACACACTCGTATCCACCCCCACCCCACCCCCAGCCACACACTCACTTGCGCCGGGCTCTCACGCCCCATGCGAGTAGAACGACCGTCTCTCCTGGGTTTCCCACACGGCCCGCCAGGAGCAGGGCCGCCTGCAGGGGGCCAACCCGAGTGCTCAGGCAATCCATTCGCCTCAACCTCCCAAAGGCACAGGATTACAGGCTGAGCCACCAAGCCTGGCTCACAAGTGTTTTCTTTACCAGTTAACATCGTTGCAGTATGAAAGTGAAATAAAAGAGAGCACAACACTTTTGTGGTTAGCTTAAAAATGTCCATTATTTTTTAAACGA